AACTTGAGAGTGGCTCTGGAGGCAGCAGACGGGGGTTTTAACTGCATGTGCTAGCTCTAGAACTAGGGCCAAATTAGTTACCCTCTCTGAGCCTTAGTTTCCACGTCAACAAAATGGGCATAATAATGGTCCTCCCTCAGAGAATTACTTTGAGGACAAATAAACTCTTTGTAGAGGACCTGGTGTAATGCCTGGTTTACTACACCCAGAAACAAGTGAGACTCGAAAGCACCAGGGCAGCTCCAAGGACAGGCAGAACGTGTTCTCAAGCTCCTCCCCTCCCTCCCACCGTCTCATGGTATCTCCACTGCCTTCACTTTTCAAAACTCCATTTCACACACAATTTGAAATCTAGTGATGGGGTAGTGTAGTCGATGGAGAACTTAAAATATTGCTGTCAAGGGAAAATACCGATTTCTATAGGAGTCGAAGCCTTTGGTTAGAGGACGGGCCCTTCCAGGGCAGACTCGTGGGCACCGGTGAGCTACCGAAAGGTGCAGACACCGCCAGGCCTCCCACAACACTCCGCCGCTTGCCTTTCTCAAACCCCACCGTGGATCTGGCCCAAGGTCCAGGGGTGAAGTGGACTGAGTCCTGGGGTACAGGTCTCACAGAGGAGCTTGCAAGGGCCACCCACAGGGCTCAGCTGACACCCCGCTTCTCTCAGAACACTTGAGAAGCAGATGGGAAGGACAGGCACGCACCTGGCCCTTGCAGCCCACCTGGGAAGGCAGAAGAGGTGGGTGGCAAGTCCAGGGCCGAATGCAGGGCTGGCAGGCTGTGATTGGACCACACGTGAAGACGCCACAGGTTCTGGGCGCTCCACCTTTAAGGGGAGGCCGATACTCCGGGACTGTCCGGGAGAGTGCAAGAGGAACGCACAGGATGCAACGAAAACCTTTCCACCTGGAGAAGGCAGAGCTGAGAATGACTGCCCTCTCCAAGCACTCAGGCATCTTCGCCCAGGGGGGACTGTCCTTACCCAGCATTCCACAGCAAGAACCAGCATTAAGGGATGAAAATCTGAGAGACACTGATTTGGGCTGAACTAAAATATTAACTTCCTGTCACCATATATTTGACTCCCTTTATCTTTGGGTGGTAAACACACAATGAAATATCCAGATGATGTATTACAGAACTGTACACTTGAAATCTACATAATTTTATTAACCAATGTCACCCCAATAAATTATTACCTGCAGTAAAAATATTAAACTGTATGGATGGGCAGCCTCAAGAGGCCAGGATCGCCTTTAAAGATCTGATGGACTCTATGAATTTTTAATTTATTTTTTGCCTTTCAAAGTACTTTTTATTTGTAAATAATTGAAATTTTCATTTGTAGATAAATTTATAGAAGAGTTGAAAAAATAAAAACAGTACAAAGAACACTGTATACCTTTTATCTACATTCATCAATTGTCAATATTTCACCCATTTGTCTCACTTGCTCTCTCTCTCAGACTAGCTGATTCTTAGGGTCCCTTCTTCTCTCGAGAGTTATGATCCTACATGCTGAGGCCTCTTTCCAGGTTAATAGGATTTTAGAAAAACTGGACTCCGGATGACGGTGCTTTCACAGCACTTGGCATAAATCTGAACTCCGCGTACGTGATGCACCGAGCTGTACAGAGCCTGACCCTGACCTCATCCTCACTTTGATCACCGTGCTGCAGCTACCCTGGATTTTCCTTCCTCACCCATGTGAAGCCCATCGCTGCCTCAGGGACTTTGCACCTGCTAGTTCTTCTACCTTCAGCATTGTTCACTGGTTTTCATGTGGCTGTGTCCTTCTAATACTGCCTGACCCCCAAGCTCCCTCCCTCCCCAACTCCTGCAAGTGACTCTCTCACGTGGCTTCAGTCATCTCTATCACGCTCTGAATGACCTGGTTTAGTGATTCGTTTGCTTGCCTTTTGCCTGTCGCCCCTTAGAATGTAAGCGCCTTGAGAACGGGGGCCTTGTCTGTGTCTTGTTGTTATTGTGTCCTCAGTGCTGAGGACAGAGACTGTACAACAGGTATTTGCTGAATGAATCGATAAAAGAACAAATGGATCCAAGAACATCTTGTCAGAACCTGTTAACACAGGAATGGACGTTAACATTTGATAACCTATAAACAGGTTACTTAACAAACTTTAGAAAGGGAAAGGAACATTTTTTAATTGGGCGGAGTCTAAGTGACAGGAGGTTTGGGGAAAAGTTTCCCCAGAAGGTGCCCCACCCAGAAGAAAGATGTGAACTCTTCTGAGAAGCCAATGAGCTTTCTGCTGCCATCTGCTGGGAAAACCACCATAAAGATGGGAATTTCAAGCACCCCTACCTGGAGCAGGCTCCTCCTCAGTGTCTGACACAAGAAAGCCTGGAGGGCTGCAGGAGGTGGTGCTCCTACATTTCGATGCCCATAGAACTCATCAAGAATGCCCCAGTTCTTTCTAAAACTGGCTGTGAAAACTTCACTATGTTGAAATTTCTTTCAAACAAGCCCACAGGTCATTCTACACAATGCTACAGAGAGATGGATAGTTTCATGTGTTTCTTTTCCTAGGACCATTCTCTACTAGAAAGAGGTTGACCAGCCTCAAAATCGTCTATCAAACTGGAGTTGTACATATGATCACATTGAGAGTTCTCCCCTTGTATATCGCTTTCCTGTCAGGTCTAATTATTGCTGATTACCTTGAACACTGGGTCTTTGCTCTGGGTGATGGTTTAAAGCTTCTGAACTTGAAACTGGCCTCTTTCTCAACCAGAAAAGAAATGTCTAACATCACCTACTGTGGAGGTGGCTAGAAATCATGTGACCTGGAGAAAATGGAATTAACAAGTCCCAGGAAAAATTATTTTTAAAAGCTTAGGTTAAGTCACTGCACTGGGTAAGCAAGAGCAGCTATTGAACAGAGAAAAGCAATTCACCACTTAATTGATGAGGGAAAATGCTGATTTTAAAAGAATAATATCCTAAAATTAAACGAATGCCACTAAGTCCAGCTATGTGAGAGGTAGTATACAGAACAGACAAGAGAACAGACAGAATCTAGGGGCAGACTTCCTGGGGTTTGAATGCCAGCTCTGTAACTTAATTGCTGTGTGACTCTGGGCAAGATATTTAACTTCTCTGTTCTGAGTCTCAGTTTGCCCATCTATATAATTAAACATCTTAGTCCTTAGCTCCCAGGGATTTTATGATTAATTGAGCTAATCTTACTAAAGTACTAACCACCATATATAGCACACACATAAATCAATACTGAAGTGTTTTGCCATTATTTTTTCTCATTTACTTCCCAACCCTAATTAACAAAAACATATATATATATATATATATATATATATATATATAGTATCAACAAAGTACCTTTAGATATATTACCTAATTAGGTAGTCTGGTAACACTGGCAGAACAAGTCTCCTTTTCAATTTATAGATAAGGTGGTCACAGGCTCAGGATTATATAGCTGATACATGGTTGGATGCTAACTTGAACCCAGGTCTCTCGACTCTTGAGGCTGGTGGCCTGTCCACGGCAGTCAGAGGTTCAACTCAGAACCCAGTGAAACCTTGTGCTTTTTTTTTCTTTAGTGATTTTAGAGAGAGGAAGGAAAAGGGAGAAAGAGGTAGAAACATCGATGAGAGAGAACACTGATGCCTGCCTCCTGCATGCCCCCAACTGGGGATTTGGCCCACAACCTGGGTATGTACCCTGACCGGGAATCGAACTGGCAACCTATTGGTGCATGGGTGGATGCTGAACCAGTGAGCCACACCGGCCGGGCCCCCAGTGACGTCTTGTAAGAAGACACATCCTGATAACCCTTATGGCCAAAGGCTTTGTTAAAACCGATAGAAACTTGAGTATGTTTGAAATAAAACAATATATTTTTAAACTTGAAGGTAAATGAAAACTGTTATTTGAACTTTAAAACCATGTTCTATGATGTTTCTGACCCAAACATTGAAGCATTCCTTACACACACACACATACACACACACATAAACAAACCTAGAAAGACTAATTATTTTCCCCGTCTCATCTAAGCGAAATGTCGAAAGAAAACAAACAGACCAGGAGAAAAGTAAATTAACTTTGTATAAGTCTGTTCAGACAGAAAGTCCTAGAAGTCTAGTAGCTGCAGAGGTAAGAAGCATCTATTTATTTTTAAACTCGATACACATAATTCAAGGATTATCTCAAGCCTCCCATCACCCATGGTTCTCAGGATTCTAGTTACTACCCGAGGAGGTCCAGCTTTGGCAAGGTTAATGGTGATGCCTTAGAGTCATGACTTAGAAAAATAATAAACATCATTTCAGAGTCTGATGCCATGGTATCATTCCCATCAATATCCTTTTTTTATCTTAATTTTTGCCCAACTCAGAGAGAAAAGGAGGAGGTTTAATTTGATTTACAGAGGGAAAAATAAGCTTGAATGTACTTTTTCTGTCGGGGGTGCTGGGGTATGCAAGGAGAAAAGGTCAACCAGCTGGTTTTCATCTATATGCCATAATTCTCTGTTTAGTTTACACTATTAAACTCCAAAGCTTTGCTTTAATCTTAACTGTTACAGTATGCCTTATTGCAGATTCTATCATGTCGCATCTCTGATAGGGTTTCAGACTTTGGACAAGCACCATCCCCCAAGCTGGCCTTGCCATATGGGTAGCAAATGCATCCAACATTTTTGCATTGGCGCCTGCATCATTATGTTTTGTCACCAATGGTTTCTCGGGTTTGTAGGAAATTGCTGTGTCTACTGTGGTTTGGGCTGTCGAGATGATCGCCTACATGTATTTGTATACAACTGTGTCCTCATCAGGGCCTCCCTGTCCCGTTAGCCTTTGGAGGATGACCTCACATCTGTTTGTTCAGGGTGGGGGTGAGGGGAGAAGCCATAAAAGAAAAAGAAAACAGAAAGCAGGAGCAAACAATGCGAGGGGAAACCGTTTCCACGCTCTGAAAGCCAAGAGAGGGAGGAGAGCGGAGCAGCAAAACCTACCTGATCTGTCTTCGTTTTGCGAATCACATCTTCGGCACAGTTCTGGGATGGTCTTGAGTGATGTGACTGAGTACTAAATGGGAAGCCAGAGGAGAAAGAGTGTAAAATAACACCTTAAAGTGGGAGCAGAACATTCATTCAAATTGGCCAGAAAAAAAAATCAAAACACAAGAAGTAACACTTGAGGACAACATGTATATCCAGAAAGTCCAGCTAATTTTACCCTAAATGGGCCGCTTGGCAATCTGGGCGCATCCCAAGCATCTAAGCAGATGCAGATTGAAGAGGGCTGGGTGGCCCTTCTTTAGCAAACAAGGTGCAGTGTCTCCAGAAGACACTCTCTCTCCCATCATTTCCACTACTAACGGAAGATGCAAGAAGGCTCTGACATTGAGAATTTCCAGAAGATGGCCATGTATTTGCATTCTGAAGCTCAAGAGTGACTCTCGGTGTGAAAAGCCAGGGGGAGAAGCATCCAGCCTCCTGGGGCACCCAGGGCAGCCAGGGGCCACATCTGTGCCAGTGCCGATTGCACTACACACATCCCTAATGCTGCCACTTGCCACGGACTCGGCTGTAAAATCTGTAATCACTATGTGAAAGAAATACCAGGGCAATGTGATAAAAAGCGAGCAGAGCATGGTTCTGTGTCTGAAAGCTCATCCATTTCACATATAGATTAGACTGAATGGACAGAAACCACCTTGCATGTTCAGTTCCGGCACCAACTCAGGGGCTGGCTATCAGGATAACAAATTATGACATAAGGGGGCATAAAATCAGAAGAGCTAAAACAAATGTGAAATCAATAGCTATGATTTATGGGAACTATGCTTGGTGCCAATCAATCTTTCTTTAGAGAAGGGCGTTTTAAAGCAAAATAAAAGGAAGCACTCTTTCTTTAATCAAGGGGCTGTCTTCAATCACATTTTAATTAATAAAATACAGCTTCCTAGAGAGATTTTGCTCTGCACCTTTAGGAAGCACGTTCTTATGTAAATGAGAACGTATTATGAATTACTTCACTGTCTCAACATTTGGGGGGATTGAGAAAAAGCATTTAATCTAAAAGAAAAATGATCATAGGAAACTCATTAGGATTATTCTGGCATTACAAGTGAAGAATGTGTAATTAGGACACATTTGTCAATAAGAAGGTACTTCAGTTAGCTTGATGCTGATAGATGAAACATAGCATCTACATGGAGACCCCCCCCCAATGCTTCCCACGGGGTATCAGGACAGCAAGGCAGAGGGAGGCGCAGTTGTAGCTATTGTCAACTTGCCAAGTTCATATTACAAACAAATTAAATATCCAGTACTTCCAAGTGAAAAATTAAAGCCCAAATGACTAACTAGAGAAGTTACTCTTACTTAGTCATTTGTGTTGTTTGTGTTGGCCACTCCTCAGACAGTACAGGTGCCTTAGCAAATCCACTCACAACTCCGGGAGAGGGAGGGCTGCTTCTTACACCGAAAATGAACTTCAAGGTCTCTTCCTCCCACATCATGCTCTCTGGGGCTTGGGGGTAACACAGGTACAGAGGCATTTGTTGTTGTTACTAATAAGGTACCTTATGTTTCTAGCTGAGAACAAGGTCTCTAAGGAATCTGGTAGCTTCCTGAGACCAGCTGGTACAGGTTAAATAATTACACAGTCTATAATTCAATTAAAAGTGGGCCTCTTGTGTTGGCTGTCAGGTGCTGCCCCATGAAAGAACCCTCTGGCAAAGAAAACCTCTCTCTTTCTCTCTCTCCCTCTTCCTCTCTCTCTTTGCTTTTCTTCCAAAGCACAATTTTAGGAAGAGGAAATTTAAGATTGATTGTGTCTAACTATAGTTAATGATAAATTCAATACGGTTGCTCGCCGGGCTTCGGAAGATGCATGTGATGAAGCTGGCGCTGCTATCTGTATTTCCTGTATGTCCAGCCACACATATCCTGACTGCCACGCCCCGCCTCCGCCACCAAAGGCAAGCGTGTCAGACCCCCTGATTCATTAGCTGTACCTTCAACTCTTCCTATGTGACCTCAAAGGTCCACAGTGCGCAGTGACTTTTTTTTTTTTTTTTTTATCCTCACCGGAGGACATTTTTCCTTTTTTTTTTTTTTTTTGTTCAGGTAGAGTGGGAGGGAGAGAGAGGAACAGATAGAGAGAGAGACAGAGAAACATTGACGTGAAAGGAACACATCGAGTGGCCGCCACCCGCACAACCGACCAGGGCCGGGGACAAACTGCAACCGAGGTACGTGCCCTTAGCGGGAACCGAACCCGGGTCTCTCAGGACCACAGGCCGATGCTCTAACCGCTGAGCCAAACCGGCCAGGGCGCGCAGTGACTTTTAACTTGAGGTTTAGATGTGAAGAGCACAGCTGCTGGGTTGGTGAGGGGACTGAGCTGCAGGCAGAGACAAGCCGAGCTGGTGCCCATCCCCTGCCTCAACCTACGCTGCACATGGCGGCTCTGCCTGTCCACCCCCGGTCACAAGGACGTCACTTCTGTGAAGGCACACATCTTAATTCTCTGGAGAACATGACCTTGAAGAAAAAGTCATGTGCTCCTCCTGGTAATGGAAATAAAAAGTACAGCAATCTAAGGAAAGGACGATGTGTTGGCCAGAAAAATCAAAGTTTTGGGTAACTGTGAGGGTAGATGGAACGGCAAATTCAGCAATGACTTCCAATTCACTGTGGGCAGGTCCACCATTCTTTATAAAACACAAGAAGAAACCAGTGTGTAGACTTGTTTCAGCTAAGTCCTTAAAGGGATGCTGCAAAGATGATCAAGTCGTGACGTGCAGAGATGAAGAGGAAACACACAATTCACACAACCCTCACGCAAAGCCATTTTCCTACGTGCAAACACGGGATTAAGCAAATGACCCAGGAAGTCGCACTTGCGTGAACGTATTGTGCTACCATCTGGAGCCGAACGGGAAGGCATCCAAGGCCTTCATCCCAGCACACGGGACAGATGGCCTTTCAGAAGAAGCTGCCAGACTGCCACCACCTGATTCTCAAGACAATGGCCAGCTCCCAGGGCAACGACTATTGTCATTTTGGCCCTATCAGAACCAAAGCCCAGTGTATCTCCCTTTTCTCCTGACCCGAGTCCAAGCCTTTGCATTCTGTTCCCTGGATTCCTATTATCCTCGGGTGATGAGAGAGGAGAGAAGGCTTGCGCATGGTTGAGATGCATTATATTTCCCGCCTCTATGTTGCTCTAATTTATTCTTTTTCTAAAAAACTTCCAGAGGTTACCTGTAGAAAAGGCCCTTTTGATGCAAACTTATTTTCAAGTCCTCTATCGGGTTGTAAAAGCTCCTGCCAAAGGTTGACCAGCTGCCTCTGCTTCGTCAATGTCCCTGTGCATTCAAAGTTGAGTTCCCCTTCTGTTCCTATATTCTGGGGTCCCCCTTGCCTGGCATGCCTTCCTCTGGCCAGACGAATGGAGCTGTTCTGCAAGGCCAGCTCGGGTCTGCCTTCTCCATGCAACCCTGGCTGACTGCTTCGTCCCTTCATGACCTTACTCTGTTCTGCCCTTGGTGAAATACTGCCTTGCCTTACGCTGCTGTTTCCTATGTGTTAGTGTTGGCCCCACAGTGCTGGGGGAAAGGATAGTAACTTGGACTTATATGTTACATGCATGGCACACAGGGATGTATTCGCTATTTGACCGAAACACTAAAATATACACACATCTGATTGATCTCTGGGCATTATTAGAAATGTTCAAAGGACATATTTCATAGTTAGGTAGTAAGTGGGAATTTCCTCCATGTTTCCATACTTGCACTAGAATTAATTGGCTTTTAAAATGCAAACTTGACTAAGGTGCTTCTCTCTTTCACACCGTCCACTGGCTCTGCACAGCCTACAGGGCAAACACCATGCACCTGAGCATGGCACACGGAGCCTCCGTGAGTTCGGACTCCTCTCTCATCATCGTCCACTTCTCTTCTGATTGTGGCCACACGAGATGTCTCGTGGCTCTCTTACCTACGGTTTTACCTGTCTCAACCTTTCTGCATAGAATGTCATCTCCCCCATTTCCTTAGGCAAACTCTTTTTAGTTTGTTAAGCTTTACCTGGACATCACTTCCATAATATCTTCTCTGATCCTCCGAGAGGGAAGTAATGACAGTTTTCAAACTGCGGTCTCCTGACCAGTGGCATCACCCATCTAAGAGTGTGTGAGAAACTCACATTTTTGGCCCCATTACAGAGACTTGAGGGCAAGGCCTAGCAATCCATGTTTTTACAAGCCATCCAGGTGATGTGGGTGTTTGCTGAGGTTCAAGAACCACTGCTCTATATTATTTTCTTCTCTTAGGCCTATTTCCATCACAGAGCTCATCACACAATGTCTCATCTGCATGTCTACATAACTGCTTTCTCTGCTTCCTGAGGGTGTGGGCAGTCTTTGATTTACCAAAGATACTAGGTTATCGAACTGAATAAAACGAATTCTCCTATGCAGCCCATGAGGTTAGTGGCAATAATAATATTAATAATGATAGTAGTTAATATTTACATAGCACTAATCTTCTTCGAAAACTCCTTATTTACAAATCTTGCGATGTAATCAGGGTATACGTAAAAGGAAAAACACTTCCAATATATTATCTGTGCTGGCTGACACCTTAGCCTTTTGTATAAAGGACAATGAATCTGGAGGGAGATCTAGATTCAAGTCTCAGTTCTGACATTTATTAACTCTGTGGTTCAGGACAAACAAGTCATTTCAGATCTCTAGGGCTCCTTACCTATAAAACAATGAGCATATAGGATAATGCAAGCGAAGTCAACCGCAAGCTGTAAAGTGGTGTTGGATGTTTTTGTCTCTTCTCTCCAACCTGTTTTCCATGTGTGTCCCACAGCCCTACCCTCTCATCTTCATTCCACTCATGTTTCTAAGCTCAGTAGATCAAGACGTGAGAACTAATGAGGCAGGAAGAGGGGGCCGGAAAGAAGGGAGAAGAGCTCGGCCTGTCCCAGCACGTTATTTGGCTTCTGGTTGGTCTTTCCTCATCCAAGCGAATCCATGGCCAAGGGCTGACACTGAAACTCAGCGTTGCAAACTGCACAGACAACCCGACACGTCCCAGACTGCACCGGTTAATGTTGTCACTCTGCCATGCAAAATAGTTTGAACATACATGGGATTCATAACAACAGTGTGTGATTTCTACACTGGACTACGGGGATCTCTGACCACCCTAGATATTGCTCAGGCCTGAAAAGCTTTGGCCCTTACTCCCGAAAGCTGCAGCCAGTTGGGCGAATGAGCAGACATTACTCAAACGGTAATGAGCCACAGAAAATGAAAGAACTCAAAGCCCAAGCACCTTTTCAAGCTAGAGACTTTTAAACAACTACGGTCCCATGAAGTTTCCAAAAGAAACATTAAAGCCAGTCAGCCAAACAACGATCCTGAAGTTCATGACTTTTCACACCGCTTTCCAAACTTCAAGCAGACATCTCAACAGGCACACAATAAAATGACAAAACTGCGTACAGCAAAGGCTGGTAATGAAAGCAGAGATATGCAGCTGAAATGAGAAGTTCAGAAACATAATATTTGTCTAAAATTTTGACCTCCTCTCCAATGGCTCGCCCGTCCAGCTCAGGAAGGGCGACCTGACTCCACACCATCCACAACAGACCCCGCTTCCCTGCTCCCTCTGATGGTGCGGTGCTAACAGCCCAGCCCTCACCGCCAGCTCTCTGCTTGTGCAGGGGTCTCCTCTTCAGCCCCCCTCTCGACATCAGCTCTCTGCGCTGAGCCCATAACAATAAACAAGCAGCCTCTCCAGGTGACATGGACCGCCCTGCTCTTGTGTTCAGAGCCATCTTTTTAAAAAGAATCGCCTTGGTTTTTGTCTCTACGTCCTCGCCTCTGCATTTACTGTCCCACCACATACAGACACTCCTCTTATTATGGCCACCAGTGAGTCTTCACCAGACAATGCAGGGCACTTTTCAACCTTTTTCTTTATAACAACCCAGTTCCCACTATTGACCACTTCCTTCTTTAAAGTCTTTAAACCCCTCACCCCCTTTAGCTCCCTTACTTGTCCTCCTATACCTATGAAACTTCTCAGACTCCTGGGAGAAGAGCCTTCTCCCCCGCCACACGAGACATGTCTGCACAGTCCTTCCTTGGAACATTCTTCTCTTTCCACATTGCTTGTTCCACAGGTGACCGCACTGGCTCCCACGATTTCAACCACCGCCTTCACACGGTGCAGACGCTGGCGGCCTGCATTTCCTTACACCCTCCCCCTCTGCCTTAAACACAGTTCTTCCCGCCATCCGGGCTCCACTGAAGACAATTCTTACAAATACTCTTTTCTCAAATACATTTGATTTTTTGCTCCTGTTCCTTGTTTTTATCCTATTTTCCAAGTGTTATTTTGTTGTTGTTGTTGTCGTTTTTAAATTAACAAAATCTATTCTTTGTGCTAAGACATTGCTTGTGGTTGGTATTTGGGAAAACTCAGTTAACTCTTTTGGACCATAGAGAGAGTATGCAGGAACTCCTCTACTGCCATGCTAGCATGTATAGACAGTCAGGCAAAAGAGTTTGCATTGGTTAAGGTGGTGAGATCACAGTATCGAATGACCCCCTTCTACTGAGAGAAGTGTTCATGAATGAGAAGGGACCTGGGTGAACAGGGACGGTCAGAGGTGACCGAGGGACCCAGCACATGTCATTTTCAATGCACTGGTTACAGGTGGATTCTAGAGCTAGACTGCACATACTATATGCTGGCTTCATTTCCTGCCTAATTAAGCTTAGTTACTTGACCTCTGTATATCAGTCTTTCAATCTGTGAAGCAGGTAGGAACGGTATCTACAACAGAACGTGGCTGTGAAGATCAGGTGCTGATACTGTAAAACACGGGGAGCAGTATCGGATGCATAGTCAGTGTTCAGTAAGTGTTAACTATTACCATCATTCAGTTAAAAAGTATCAAAAATGAGCATTTAAAAATGAAGCCGAAGTGGTGGTAACTACTGACGCAGAAATTACAAATTAGAAAAGAAATGTACCTTGAAGTTCATCTTCAATGATGGTCTAATTTTAATTGTGAACCAATAATCAATCACCATCAAAATATAAAGACTGCCAGTCAAGGATAGAGTTTGATATTGTAATTAAATGTGACCCACCATGAAGTTAAGCTGCCATTTCATAATCTGCTCGTGTGTTATTATAGGGTATTTACAAGTCCACGTCATTTGTCCCAAGCCCAGAACCATGCTTAGTGCGCTGTAAATGCTTAATAAATATTTGTTGATTGGTGTAAAATCAATGACGCATAAGAGGTAAATAGTTTGTGTAACTAATCTGCATCATCAGTCTAACACGTGCTATGACTATCAGGCAAGATAAGAACGTTCAGCGCTGTCAGCAGAGTAAGAGAAGAACAAATATAAAAATCTGACCGTTGCCCATTCGTCTTGGAAAACACCCTATCCATAAAGTTGCTTTTTACCTTCTCAGGAAGGGATGTCCAGTTCAAGATATGGAGTCAGGGACCTGGATTCTAGTCCTGGGCTCTAACTCTAGCTATAGGACATGAACATATTATTCATCATGTCTGGATTTGATTACTCCTATTTCCTTTCCTGGCAGGGGTTAAGAAAAGCAGACAAGACATACGACACATGAAATTAGAACAAGGCGTGAGGTTTCTGATAACCAGGGCAGAGAAGGCTGGAGAAGGAAGGAATGAGAGGTAATTCAGACTTGCATATAGGACATTGCAAAAAGAATAGGTGAAGAGTTGATGAAACTAGGTCATACTGAGAAGCATTAAGAAACATTTTAATATAGATAAGAGCAGGATGGCTGCTAGGAAGGGCAGGGCTGACAGATGAGATGAGAAGGGACTGAGGCAGCCAGATGCCAGGTTAGAGTGTTGGTCACCTTTTAGGAAGCACAAAAGAAAGTATAATGAGATCTGACTCAGGTACACTCCTTGCTAGAGAGGTGGGACAAGCGAGGTTCTTTATACCTTTAATATCTTTGTAATCTTTATCGCACCTAAAATCAGGACAAAAGCTGTATTCTTTACCTGCCCAACCCTTTGCCTGAGTCCACTTGGTAAGCAATACATGTTCTTTCTCAAGGTCTCCCAGTG